TCAGGAGTTCAAGACCAGTCTGATCAACATGGTAAAACCCTGTCTCTACTATAAATAAAAAAATTAGCTGAGCGTGGTGGTGGGCACCTGTAGTCCCAGCTACTTGGGAGGCTGAGGGAGGAGAATCAGCCAGGAGGTGGAGGTTGCAGTGAGCTGAGATCACACCACTGCACTCCAGCCTGGGTGACAGAGTGAGACTCTGTCTCGAAAAATGAATAAATAAAATAAAATAGATAAAACCCAGAGATTTTTGGAGATTGAAACTCCTTTCCCAGGGACTCAGATTCTCCGAGGTGTAGGTCAGGAGGGCACAGCTTTCCTGAGAGCAGGGGCAAAAGAACGTAGCAGATAGAGGATTCTAACACACCAGGACCGAGCTAGCGTGGGCAACGGAGACCATGGAAGATGGAACCCTTTGGAGGCTCAGGGAAGAAGGAGGAAGGGGCCGAACCCAGATGCCTGGGCAGCCTCTGCAGAGGAGGCACCTTCTTTTCTCACTAGGAAAGACCTGGATCAAGGGCCACGTGACCTGCATTCTCCGCATCTGGACCACGTAGGGGGCAGAGGTTGAACAACACACTGGTTTTTGGATGAGTTTCATGACCCAGGCGAAGTCACCTCTCTGAGTCTTAGTTTCCTCCTCTGTAAAATGGAGAGTCCTGATTGTCACGGGCAGAACCCCTGACTGAAACCAGCAGAGACAAAACGGACCACAGGATGACGGGTGCAATGCAGGACAGGGGTAACAACTAAATACAAAGGGGAGAGGGGTGCTCTGCCACTGGGAAGGATCCCCTCTCCACCTCCCTTATGAGGGGGGCGAGCCTCGTGGCTCACGCTGCACTGGCTCCCTCCTGTGGAGAGACTGGGGATAGGAAGCAAACAGCCACGAGTTCCCTCCTTTCTCCACAAAACAGAATGGTTTGTCTGGGTCACCTACAGGACACAGCAAAGATCTATGTTTCCTTGTGCAACAGTGAACAGCTCAGAATGCAACTGAGATGCAGCTACCTTGCATTTGCTTTCCTTCTTTTTCTGCCTCATTTCTTTTTTTTTTTTCCAGACTCTTGTGCCCTAGGATTGCACTTCTAACAAAGCCTTAGGAATAAGCTTTGCCTTGGGCTCTGTTTTCTAGAGAATCTCTGATCAGACAGATGCTTATAAGCTGTTTGACTTTGGATACATGACTTAACCTCTCTGTGCTTCAGTTTTCTCATCTGTAAAATGGAGTCATAATGATTCCTAGTTCGGGAGGTTGCAGAGAGTTAAGTATACGGAAGGTATGTAAATGTTCAGTTAGAGTTCATTGCCAGGTGCAGTGACCCACGCCTGTAATCCTGGCATCTGGGGAGTCAGACGGGGGACTGCTTGAGTCCAGGAGCTTGAGACCAGCCTGGGCAGCATAGCGAGACCTCCTATCTAATAATAATAATTAGGCATGGTGGCACTATTATTATACTGATAATTCCAGCTACTCAGGAGGTTGGGGTGGGAGGACTGCTTGAGCCTGGGAGTTCAAGGCTGCAGTGAGCTGAGACTGCACCACTATACTCAGCCTGGATGACAGAGCAAGATCCTGTCTCAAAAAAAAAAAAAATTTAGTGTTCGCTCTTTTTAGTGCCCTGGGGCCTGAGAATGCTCTGGACGGTGGGACAGAGGCAGGTCATCAAGAGAAAAATGGAGATTTGAGCGACTTTCTCCAGGGCTCTCACCAACGACAGAGCCTGGCAGCTGAGGATGCCTGTTGCTACACACGCTGTGCCTCCTCTGCTGGCTGCCCCTGACCTTGGGGGAGTGGCCTGAGGCTGGGGAAGGAGCACGGGATTGACAGTCAACAGGAACTCATTCCAGCCTGCCTGACCCTGGGGGAGGCCTCCATGTCTCAGAGGCTCAGTTTCCTTACCTGTAAGATGACTACACTGACTGAACACAAACCCAGTGGGCACTTAGCCCAGGTGGCGTCTGTGACTGTCACACCTGGAAGGGCTTAGAGGCATTTCTAGCCTTCTGCCTTCCTTTTACAGATGAGAAAACTGGGGCCTGAGAGAGGAAGTAACCTGGCCAGGACAGAGAAGTTTTGTGGATTACACAGGGACAGAGGGGGTGTGACGGGGGAGGGAATATGCAAATTTTTTTCTCAGAGCCCGAGCACCGGCCTGAGAATACCTGGGAATAGCTTCTTCGGGGATCTCAGAAAGCGGTATCTTTTCTGCCTGGGCAGGTGGATGTGTCTGGGAATAGGGAGCCAAGGCCCAGGAGTCCTGGCAAACGGCCCAGGCAGCCAGAAGGCAGGGCCAAGGCGGGCTGGGGCAGATCAGCGCTGCTCACCATGGGGCTGAACAGCCAAGCGTGGAGAACCTGGTCCCCTCCTCAAACCCCATGTCCTACTTAATGACAAACTTCTAAGGCCTGGAAGTGGGGGACTGGGGGAGCGTCTTTGGCTGAACCAGGCTGGGGCCCTCTGAGATTCTAGCTGAGCCTTTCCTCTCCCAGCCCTGGCTTGTTGATGTCCAGAGGGCGATTGCTGGGAAGAAAGGTGTGCCCAGATGAGTTTGCACTCAGGTGTGAGAGCTGCTTCCTGGACTTCCAAAACAAGAGAGAAGGAGGTGACAGTGGTGTCCAGAGCCATGCCAGATGTTCACCGCCAAGGCTTGACTTGTGCTTCAGGACAGTCCTGCCAGGAGGCATTATTATAACCCCCCATTGCACAAATGGGGACGCTGAGGGCACTGGGACATGCCAAGGTCCCATAGTAAGCCAGTTTCAGAACCCAAGCAGGCTGACCTCTGACCCAGGCCTCTACCTCCAGGGCCAAGTGCCTACCAGGCTGCGGGGTGGGAGCTCAGAGGAGGGCTCTGCAGCCGGTGATGAGTGTGTGGTGGCTGCATTGACCGTGGGAATAGGGCCTTCTGTGCTTGTTCTCAAGGAGCCGGGAGAAACTCACCGTGCAGGGCAGTTACAGCTCAATGAATTCGTGCTCTTTTCTGTCATGTTACCCAAAAAAAGTATATATTTTTCCTTTTCCCAAACAAGAATCTGATCACCCCAACAGACCACTCCTGCCTGGTAGGACTTTGGGAGCTTCATTCTTTATGAGGTTCTCTTTCAGGCAGAACCCAGACAGACCTTGCCCCCACTCCCAGAAAGTAGAGCAAAGCCCCTATCACAGGTGGGAGACGAGCTGCCATCCTGGCTGCTTGGCAACAGCTGGGGGCAGCCTTGATCAGCCCTCTCTGAGGACTCAGGAGGGTCCCTGGCAAGAAGAGTCACCCCATCCCCAGGAACTGTCAGCATCTCTAACTGACGTCCTTCAGGGCCTTGCCACCTTAATAAAGAACATTCGCACTGCAGGGCTGTGGATGCCAAAGAGGATGACACGAAGGGAGAGAGGGTTGGGGAGAGCTCTTTTTTTTTTTTTCGAATGGAATGTCACTCTGTCATCAGGCTGGAGTGCAGTGCAGTGGCGTGATCTCAGCTCACTGCAACCTCTGACTCCCTAGTTCAAGGGATCCTCCTGTCTCAGCCTCCTAAGTAGCTGGGATTACAGGCACATGCCACCACGCCCAGCTAATTTTTTTGTATTTTTAGTAGAGATGGGGTTTCGCCATGCTGGCCAGGTTGGTCTCAAACTCCTGACCTACGGTGATCCACCTGCCTTAGCCTCCCAAAGTGTTGAGATTACAGGTGTGAGCCATCACGCCCGGCCAAGTTGATACTTTTGAGGGCTGGGCCCACGTAGAGAGGACAGACGCCCCACTGCCTTCTCCCACTCCAGCTTACCGTATTTATCTCCTTTGGGAAGCCTTTCTAGATACCCCCCATTCCCCAACTTCCTCATATATCCATGGAGACTCCTGCACCTCCTGCTACTCCCAGCTAAACTGCCACTTCTGCTCAGGTGGGGGCCGCAGGAGCCTGGCTTTTCTGCTAGCCTCATGGTCTGATCTGATCACACTCAGATGGATGAGCGTGAATAAACATGACCAGGCATCCATCCCTCCATCCCTCCAACACAAATTAACGAGCACTGATGATCTGCAGGGAACACCTTGGGGGCACAGGGATGAATAATACAGGTGTACTTATAAGGAGTTACTAGGAACTCCAGCTAGGAAGTGAGCCTTAGACATCAACAGCAAATGAAACAATACTGTTTTGTAAATCAAGTTTTACTGTGCCCCAGGCTCTGTGCTAAAGCATTTTATGCACATTCTCTCAGTCCTTGTGCAACCTTATCAAACCGCTATTATCCTTTTTTATAGATAGGACACTAAGACACACAGATCTTAACTTGCCTAAGGTGGCCACAGGGACAGCAAATGACAGAGCCAGGCTTTGCACCCAAGCAACACCACCTGTCCGAGCCACCAGCCATTTGTGGGACAGAGGAGACGAGGCCACTCTTACCTACAGGATCAGGAATGGCTTTCTGGTGAAGGTGACTTAGTGGCGCCTGGATCAAAGGCACTGAGTTTTGGGCCATGAGAATTCTAGGAGAAAGGTAGAAAAGTGCAAGCCACGTGGAGTGACCGAGGGGACGGTGCCAGGCCAGGGGAGGAGGGTGTAGGCCTGGACTGAGGGGAGGGAAATGCGGTTTCATAGGCTTGAGGCCTTGCTGCCAGGCTAAGGTTTGGGGCTTGAAATAGGCAGAATTATGGCCCCAAAGATGTCCATGTTTGCTGGGGTGCAGTGGCTCACGCCTGCAATCCCAGCACTTTGGGAGGCTGACGCGGGCACATCACTTGAGGTCAGGCGTTTGAGACCAGCCTGACCAACATGGTGAAACCCTATCTCTACTAAAACTACAAAGAAAATTAGGTGGGCATGACAGAGCATGCCTGTAATCTCAGCTACTCGGGAGGCTGAGGCAGGAGATTCGCTTGAATTCAGGAGGCAGAAATTGCAGTGAGCCTAGACCACGCCACTGCACTCCAGCCTGGGCAACAGATTGAGACTCCATCTCAAAATAAATAAATAAAGATGGAGAAGGGGGCCACGAGCCAAGGAATGCAGGCGGCTTCCAGAAGCTGACAAAGCAAGGGAACAGATTCTCCCCTGGAGCCTCCAGGAAGCATACGGCTCTGGGAACACCTTGATTGTTAGCTCAATGAGACTTGCCTTGGATTGCTGACTGGTGTGATAAGTGTGCGTTGTTTCAAACCATTTGTTAGGGCAGCTACAGGAAATTAATACAGCGCTCTTACCCAAGCACCACGTGGGCACTGGGGCTTCCAGCAACATTGTCCCATTGGCATTTTAGAAAGCTGGATTCAAATATTTACCAAGCTTTCTACATGCCAGGACCGTGCCAGGCCATGGGGAGATAGTGCAAAAGAGAAGTGCAGCCCCTGCCTTGGGTGGGGCTGTAATACATCACTGGAGGTCACTCCAGCTGCCACGCTGGATTAGAGGCCAGCGCAGGATGAGCAGATTATCACTAACTGGCAGGCTGAACAGCAGCAGTTCCTAACCGGCAGCTGCAGAGCTTTTGTTTAATTGAAAAAAGACTTATCTGAAGCGCTCAGAGGAGAGCACTTTGCAACAGATGTGCCAGAGCCGGCCCAGCGGCCACTTGGCTACAGCAAATTTGTGCCATGGCTGCCCATTGCCCTTTCCCATCAGGGCAGCCTGAGGGTCTCATGGGAATGAGGGGTGGGGGGCCACCTGGGGTTTCTCAAAGCACGAAGCAGGAGTCTCCACTGAAGGGGAAGCATGCTGAGAGAAGGTAGGAGGGGCACTGAGGTGCCACCCCCAGCCCATACTCCAGTTCCTCCCAGGGGGTATAGCCAAGAGAAGTGTGAACATACATGTGCCGAAGTACACACCCCAGCATGCTTGTGGCAGAGCCATGATAGTCTCAAACTAGAAGCAACCCTAATGTCCACCAAGAGGAGAACGGGTGGCTGAAGTGTGGTATGTTGGCCGGGCACAGTGGCTCACGCCTGTAATCCCAGCACTTTGGGGGCCCGAGGTGGGTGGATCACTTGAGGTCAGTAGATCGAGACCAGCCTGGCCAATATGGTGAAACCCCATGGTGGCGCAGGCCTGTAATCCCAGCTACTCCGGAGGCTGAGGCAGGAGAATCGCTTGAACCCAGGAGGTGGAGGTTGCAGTGAGCCGACATCGCACCACTGCACTCCAGCCTGGCGACAGAATGAGACCCCGTCTCAAAAAAAAAAAAAAAAAGTGTGGTATGTTCCTACAACAGAGCACCGAACAGCAATGAGAATGAATAGGCCTTTATGACACCCGGCATCACTGATAATTCTCACCAACTTGATATCGAGCAAATGAAGCCAGATACAAAAGACAAAAGACCTGGCTCCGTTTACTTAATGTTTATAAAGAGGCAAAATGAATCTGCATGCTGGAAGTCAGGATGGGGTTCCCCTGGGGTGGCGGAGGGCAGAGTGATTGGCAGATGGCACAGGGGCGTGTGGAGTGCAGGACATAGGTTAAACAGGAGTGTTTGCTTTGTAATAATTTATTGTGCTATGCACTTATGGAGTGTGTATTTTCTTTGTGTATGTTATGATACGTTTGTTTTTTAAATTATTAATGAATGTACTACAGTGCTGGGGGATATTTTGGTGGCTACGTGATGTAGGGACATCGGCTTAGAGTTAGAAGTCCCGGGTTCCAGCCTTAGCGTGCCTGCACTGTGACAATGTGCACGCTGGGCTGGTTGTGGCCCCTTTTGGGGTCTCAGTTTTCTCTATCCTTAAATTGGGAAGGTGTCTATATGGATTACATGATTTTTGCAGAAATTCAGCAGAATGCTGGAACTGTAGCTAACCTGACTCCTTATTTTAAAGAGAGAGAGAGAGCTCAAGATTTTGTTGGAGCTGGAGACGTTTTCCTGCTTCCTTGTTAGAGCTGTCACGCCGTGATTTGGCTCCATTACTAACAGCCCAATTATTTGACCTTGGCCTTGGAGACAGGTGTGTTGTGGACCAGAAAGAACGCGGTGGGTTTCGGGATCACTCAGTCAGGTTAGAATTCTGGCGGAGTCCCCACTTCAGTGTGTGTGAACTTGGGCAGGTCACCGCACCTCCTCCACTCTTCGCTCTGTCACTGGCAGTGAGGGTGACCGTGCCCACCCTACTGGGCAGATGGGAAGAGGAAGTGAAAAGTGCCCTCAGCTATTGGAAGGGGAGCCCTGGGAAAGCAGATCCCACCTTTCCAGGTCACAGGGACCTTATTCTGAGAGCCTCACCTCGCTGAGGGGGGCCTCAGGCTTGCCCCTGCCCATGAGGCCCAGGGATTGGGGGTTGGGTAGGGATTGCAGCGTGAGGGGGCTTCACTGTGGCCATCTGGGGAGGGGCCTTGGCTAATGCCCTGGGGCCCTGTCATCCCTCCCACGTGGTCTCCCAGTGCCTTGTGTGAAGAGCAGGTGCCAGGAAAGCCTTGCTGAGCTGAGTGGAGGTCCAGCCTTTCACGCTGTGCTCAGCTCAGTGTGAGAGCACATGGGAAATGGGTAAGGATCCCGACGCGTGAGAAACAGCTGGAAGAACTGCTGGCCTTGAAGCGGAGTCACTCAGAGAAGACCCCAGCGGCCATGGTCCACTGCTTTTGCAAATCCAACGGGTTCTCTCGATTTTCTGGCCTTTTGTGTGAAGGCTAGTGTTTCTCCATCTCTAATTTGTTCTCAGAGAATCCAAATCTGCCTATTTTAAATGGTTTTCTTGGCCGGGCGCGGTGGCTCACGCCTGTAATCCCAGCACTTTGGGAGGCCGAGGTGGGTGGATCACCCAAGGTCAGGAGTTCCAATCCAGCCTGGCCAACATGTTGAAACTCTACCTCTACTAAAAATACAAAAATTAGACAGGTGTGGTGGTGCATGTCTATAAGTCCAGCTACTTGGGAGGCTGAGGCAGGAGAATCTCTTGAACCCGGGAGGCAGAGATTGCAGTGAGCTGAGACTATGCCATTGCACTCCAGCCTGGGAGACAGAGCGAGACTTTATCTCGAAAAAAGAAAAGAAAGAAAGAAAGACTTGTCCAATTGCCAAGTGGCTCACGCTTGAAATCTCAGTGCTTTGGGAGGCCGAGGCAGGAGGATAGTATGTGTTTAGGAGTTTGAGACCAGCCTGGGCAACACGGCAAGATCCTGTTTCTAAAAAAAAAAAAAAAAAAAAAAAATTAAATTAGCTGGGTATGGTGAAGCAAGACTGTAGCTCCAGCTACTAAGGAAGCTGAGGTGAGAGGATCACTTGAGTCTGGGAGGTTGAGGCTGCAGTGAGCTATGACTGCCCCACTGCCCTGCAGCCTGGGTGACAGAGCAAGACCTGTTTCAAAAGATGAGAGAAAAAAAAGAAGACTCACTGTATCACTTCATCATCTGGAAACTGCTATTGTTAATGTGTTTGTGTGTATCCTTCAGATTTATATCCGTGATCACGAGGTATATTTGATCAGCCTGGGTGTTTGGTTGCAGGCAACAGACACTGGCTCTGGCTAGCTACGTGAGTTAAGGCACCATTGGCTGCTGTACTGGGAAAATCCGCAAATTACAGTGGCTTTATACAACGCAAATGTATGTCTTTCTCACATCAAGCCCCACACAGTGGTTCCTGCTGGGGAGAGGGGAGTTGGCGACGCTCTGGATCACAGTCACTCAGTACAGGACCCGGGCCAAGGGCAGTCCCACCCATTCAATGCCTGGACTCCCAGGTGGCGAGCCAACGTGCTGCCAGCAGGCGGGGAAGAGAGCGTCCAGAGAAGTCTGCAGGCCCGAAGGGGCGTCCACATGGTTCTTCCTCTTTCCATTGGCCAGACTTGAGTCGCATAGCCATACCCAACGGAAAGGCTGTTGGAGGACTGGCAGAATTGGTAGGAGGCTGGGGCACCAGGCTTGAGACTGAGCAGTCTCCAGGGAGCTCCAGGGAGCCAGGAAGCAATACACATGGCGACCACCTCGTCAGCCAGGCACAGTGGTTGCCATTGCCATGTGTATTGCCACCCCAGCCCCACCACAGCTGCCAAGAATCGCCTCCAATTCCTCTTGGTATCACTCTCTCGGGTTCCAGTGTCCTAGAGGAGCACATCTATTTTGTTAGGAAACCCAGATCATGCCCTCACCCCTGGCTACACCAGGGCCAGGAGAGGCTGGATCTGGCTTCTGAACTTCGTCAAGGGATGGCAGGTATTTCCTTCGGCTGGGCTCACCCCTCTCCCTCCCCAAGAGAGATAATGTCCTTTTTCTTCTGTTTTTATTGCAGTAGAATTGACAAAAAATTGTATATATTTAAGGTGCACAATGTGATAATATCACATATGTGTACATTGTAGAGTGATTACCACGATCAAGCTAACGAATACATCCATCCACTCACGTAGCTACTCTTCTTGTGTGTGGTGAGAACACTTAAGATGTCCTCTTAGCACTTCCAAGCATGCAATATGCTGTTATTAACTGTGGTCACCATTCTATTCATTAGATCCCCCAAACCTATTCCTCTTCCAGCTGAAACTTTGCAGCCTTTGACCAACATCTCCCCTTTCCCACCCCCACCCCGCCTCCCTAGCAACCACCATTCTATTCTCTGCTATGAGTTTGATTTTTTAAGATTCCACATATAAGTGAGTTAAAGCAGTGTCTGTCAATATGACAAAGAGACAATTTTCCTAGGGCCTGTTGAGAAAGATGATCGGTGCTGGACAGTCAAAACTAACAATGTTTTCTATTATCTCAGTATACTGTGTTATTGGGCCTGGGATCCTGCCCATTCTGCCAGTGCCCCCACCCACGATGCAGCCGCTGAGTGGCCATAGCTGTCCTGAGTTTCTTCAGCCACGGAGAGAAGTCAGAGCATCTGGGAAATGGAATTGCCCAGAAGCCTCATGGAAAGGAGCCATGTGGAGTCCAAGGTGGCTAAAAGCTATAATGTCCCACCAAGGTTTCCATGTTAAGCCCCCAAATACACCAAGACAACTTCCCCAGCCCTCTCCATCACCAACACAACCCATGGCCAACAAAAAGCAGTGAGAGAAATAGGAAGAGAAAGCCTACAAATGCAAATTTCAGTGTCGAGCTGTTTTGTCTTTTTTTTTTTTTTGGCCGGGGGGTTCTTGCTATGTTGACCAGGCTGGTCTCGAAGTCCTGGCCTCAAGCAATCCTCCTGCCTTGGCCCCACAAAGTGCTGAGATTATAGGTGTGAGCCACTATGCCTGGCCCAAGGTATTTTGTCTTTAGGGAACCTCATTCCATGATTACCCTGGTCCCTGATACACTCCAATCACTGTTTGAAACAATAATTGCACAAAAAGATACACAACATTATTGGTTCTTAGGAAAATGCAAATTTTAAAACATGAGCTATGACTACACATTCACCAGAAATGGCCAGAGTTAAAGAGGGATGACCTGGTCCAGTGGCTCATGCCTGTAATCCCAGCACTTTGGGAGGCTGAGACAGGAGGATCCCACAAGCCCAGGAGTTCAAGACCAGCCTGGGCAACATAGTGAGAACCCATCTCTAAAAACAAAAACAAAAAACGGCCAGGTACAATGGCTCATGCCTATAATTCCAGCACTTTGGGAGGATGAGGCAGGCAGACCACTGGAGGTCAGGAGTTCGAGACCAGCCTGGCCAACATGATGAAACCTTGTCTCTACTAAAAATACAAAAATTAGCTGGGCTTGATGGCATGTGCCTGTAATTCCAGCTCCTCAGGAGGCTGAGGCAGGAGAATTGCCTGAACCCAGGCAGAAGTCGCAGTGTGCCAAGATCACGCCATTGCACTCCAGCCTGGGCGAAAGAACAGACTCAGTCTCAAAAACAAAAACAAAAACAAAATTAGGCATGGTGGCGTGCACCTGTGGTCCCAGTTAATTGAGAGGCTGAGGCAGGAGAATCACACTAACCCAGGAGTTCGAGATCAGCCTGGGCACTATAGCAAGACCCCATTTCTAAAAAAAAAAAAAAAATCTGGCCATGGTGGCATGCACCTGTGTTCCCTGGTACTTGAGAGGCTGAGGTGGGAGGATCACTTAAGCCTGGGAGGTGGAGGCTGCAGTAAGCCATCATGGTGCCACTGCATCCCAGCCTGGGTGACGGAGTGAGACTCTGTCTCAGTAAATGAATGAATGAATGAATGAAGAATGAATGAATGATACTCTGTTGTGCTGCCAAATACTGAGAGTAACTGGAAGTCATCTACATTGCTGGTAGGAGTATACAATGGAATAACCATTTTGAAAACCTGTTTAGCAGTTGTGAAATAAGAAGAAATATACATATTGGCTTCTACCATCAGTTCCTGGCACAGAGCTACTAAAAGTCTTGTAATTTCCTGCGGAAAATAGGAGTGCTAGGAGGATCCTTTGTTCTAATATTTAGTCTTTGACCTAGATTCCTAACACAGAGCTCCTACATCCCTGGAAATGTCCTGGGGGATAGGACCATCTTTTGTTCTAATGAAGTGGCTCTTCGGGGGCTCTTGAATAGCCTCAAGATGAGAGCTGGTTGCGAGGGCAACCAACCAGGCGATTAAAGGACTGGAACTCGGCCAGTGTGGTGGCCCACGCCTGCAATCCCAGCACTTTGGGAGGCGATTAAAGGACTGGAACTCGGCCAGTGTGGTGGCCCAAGCCTGCAATCCCAGCACTTTGGGAGGCTGAAGTGGGAGGACTGCTTGAGCACAGGAGTTCAAGACCAGCCTGGGAAACAGTGAGTGAGACCTTGTCTCTACTAAAAATAAAAAATTGACTGGGCATGGTGGCATGCACCTGTAGTCCTAGCTACTCAGGAGGCTGGGGCAGGAGGATCACTTGAGCCCAGGAGTTTGAGGTTGCAGTAAACTATGATTGGGCCACTGTACTCAAGTCTGGGTGACAGAGCAAGACTCTGTCTCAAAAAAAAAAAAAAAAAAAAAAAAAAAGGAACACCCAGCCCTGCCTCTCTGACCACCCTGGAAAGGAGAAGAGCTGAAGATTGGGTTAATCGCAGAGGCCAATGATGCAATCCATCATACTTATGTAATGTGTAATGGAGCCTCCATCACAGCTCAAATGGCCAGGGTTCGGAAGAGCTTCCAGAGAGCTGAACATGTGGAGGTTCCTGGAGGGTGGTGCACCCAGAGAGGGCATGGAAGCTCCGTGCCCTCCCCACTGCCCGGCCCTGTGCATCTCTTCCACCTGGCTGTTCATCTGCATTCTTCGTAACAGCCTGTATAATAAACTGGGAAATGGAACTCAAGTGCTTCTGGAGCTCTGTGAGCTGCTCCAGCAAATTAACTGAACCCAAGGAGGGGGTTGTGGAAACCCCGGTTCATAGCTGGCCAGAGGCACAGGTTGCGATTGGCATCTTACAGGGGGAGGGCATCGAAAGTCTTGTGATACTGACCTGTGGGGTCTGAGGCTGTCTCCAGGTAGGCAGCATCAGAATTGAGTTGAGTGAGGAGTCACCCAGCTGATGTCCGCCGCTCAGCGAGGCGAGACCTCACACAGCAGTAACACAGACACCTGTTCCGTGGCCCGGTATATCCACTTTCAGGTGTGGGAGTGGATGAGAAATGAAAGCACACCTTCGCACAAAGATTCATGCAAGCAGCTTTATACATGATGCTCTTTGTACAAAGAGTAAACAACCCAAATGTCCATCATCAGGATAATGAATAAACACATTGCAACATATCCACGCAATAGAATGCTTCTCAGCAGGACAAATGGGCTAATGAGACATGCAGGGCCGTGGACGAACCTCAAAAATGTGTAACGAACAAACGGAGCCAGACTAAAAACAGCTCCTACCATGCGGTTCCATTTCTACGGAGCTCATGAATAGACAAATACGGGCTGTGGTGACAGAACTCAAAAGAATCAGGAGACTTTCTGGGGTGACAGAAGTGCCCATATCTTGATCCAGGTGGTCACATAGGCCTACACATGTGGCAGCCCACTTAGGCATTGTGCATTTTACTGTATGTGATGTATGTATGAACTTCTATGAAAATTTAAAAATTAACATAGCGGCCCCCTTTCAGGTTACAATGGACCCTTTCGATGGGTGCTTTTCTGTCCCAGACCTGGCTCCTCAGATCTGCCCTCTGGTTCCTGGGTGTGTAGGAGGACTTACTGCTTCTTCCTGGATGTTGGACCACCCAAGGTGGGGACACCTGTCACCTAGTCCCAGCTGGCCTTGATGGCCTGCTCTGTGAGGCTTGCAGCAGGTGAACATGGGGCATTCTTTGTCTCCACTGTACGGGGACCCATGGTTCCCTTATTGATTCAGCTGTGCCTCAGTCCTCACTGGCAAAGAATAATATCATGTATTGTCTTAATTTGCATTTCTTGGATTAGCAGTGAGAGTAGTAAGGTTGAACTTCTAAAATATGGTTACTAGCCGTCTTTATTGATTTATTCAGAGACTGATGTTTTCTTTTCACTTTTTTTTTTTTGAGAAAAGGTAGGTCTCTGTTGCTCAGGCTGCAGTGCAACGGTGCATTCAGGGCTGACTGCAGCCTCACCCTCCCCAGCTCAAACAATCCTCCCACCTCGGCCTCCCAAGTAGCTGGGACTACAGGTGCACACCACCACATCTGGCTAAATTTTTCTATTTTTGTAGAGATAGGGTGTCACTATGCTGCTTGGGCTGGTCTCAAACTCCTGGACTCAAGCAATCCTCTTGCCTCGACCTCCCAAAGTGCTGGGATTATAGGTGAGAGCCACCATGCCTGGCCAGAGCCTAACATTTTCTAGGGCCTCATTCCACATAACAGTTAACAGTGAAAAAGAAATGAAAGATATGTTTCTGCCAAGCAAACATTTCTAAAGGATATATATTATTTTTCTGCAACAAGATTCTGTTCTTCTTTCTTCTGTGCCTTTCCCAGGAGGGAGTATCTTTTTTGAGGGGTAATTTTTTTGTAACAACAATGACAGTAACAATAAAAAATGGAACCATCTGCTCATCCAGACTTGGTAAATTGGATTGAATCCCTCAGATTTGACAGCATACAGCCCTCCAAAGCTTTCCTCGCGATCCTGTGCATTCTCCGGGGCGGAGGGTTCCATGGCCCCCTCTGCATGTGCTGACCTCCTCCTCCCACGTTCACTGTGCCCTGCACACACACAAGCACCAAACACTTGTGAGATGGGCTGGGCTGGTGAGGAGACAGGGCCTAGCAGGCTCACCTGATTCAAGCCTCTCTTCGTCCTGCAGGCTCATGTCTCTTCCCTCTGCCTCCTTTTGTTTTGTTTGTTGGTTTGTTTTTGAAGTCTTGCTTTGTGGCCCAGGCTGGAGTGCAATGGCACTATCTTGGCTGCAACCTCAGCGTCCCAGGTTCAAGCGATTCTCCTGCCTCAGCCTCTGGAGTAGCTGGGACTACAGGCATGCACCACCACACCTGGCTAATTTTTGTATTTTTAGTAGAGATGGGGTTTCGCCATGTTGGCCAGGCTGGTCTCGAACTCCTGACCTCAGGTGATCTGTACGTCTCGGCCTCCCAAAGTGCTGGGATTGCAAGGCTCCCTCTCCCTGCTTACTTCTCATTTTTCTCCCTCCTGAGAGCCTAACAAATTCCTTTCCCATGTCATGCCGGGCAGTTTCACCACCATCTTTTAAGGCCCTGGCCTTAGAACCTGAAATACCTCATCAATGTATTTTTTCCAAATATAGTTCCCATTCTAAGAACAACTGAATGCCAGCTACTTAGATGCACATTTAAAAATGTTACTTCGGCCAGGTGCGGTGGCTCACGCCTGTAATCCCAGCACTTTGGGAGGCCGAGGCAGGTGGATCACGAGGTCAGGGGATCGAGACCATTCTGGCTAACACAGTTAAACCCCATCTCTATTAAAAATACAAAAAATTAGCCAGGCATGGTGGCTGACGCCTGCAGTCCCAGCTACTCGGGAGGCTGAGACAGGAGAATCAGTTGAACGCAGGAGGTGGAGCTGAGATCACGCCTCTGCACTCCAGCCTGAGTGACAGAGCAAGACTCCGTCTCAAAAAAAAAAAAAAAAGAAATGTTACTTCACCATCATCATAGTAGAACTGCAGTGTTTTTCTGCTTCTGAACAG